ATAAGACTTTAATGCAGATAGAGAGAAAGAAGGTTCTTTCCACAGCTGTGATTAGATCATATTAAAAATATAGCTACGTTTTTAAATGTCATTTCAAATTGTGTATTTCCATCTGACATTGGATAGAAGTAGATTGCAAGATTCATGGAAAGTAGAAAAGTTAACTGACTTGCAAGAATATAAAAGACACATCAATTTGAAAGCAAAACGTTTATTCATTTACTTTTGCTGTGGTTTTGTTGACTGCAGAATTCCATGAGAAGGGATTGTTCAGGAAGGTCCTGAAGCTGGAGACCCAGGAGGAGCTGGTGGGGCTGTTGTTTAAGCCTGAGGGTCGTGGACGTGGAGACCTGGGGAGGAGCAGTTCTTTTTGTAGTTTGAGGGAGATGCAGCTACGTACCTGGGCAGGAGCAGCTGTTACTTTACTTTGGGGTCAGACGGCTGTGGACCTGGGCAGGAGCAGTTCTTTTTGTTGTTTGAGGGAGATACATCTGTGGACCTGGGCAGGAGCAGTTCTTTAGTTTGAAGGGCACACAGCAGTGGACCTGGGCAGGAGCAGTTCTTTGTGTTGTTTGAGGGCCACACAGCTGTGGACCTGGGTGGGAGCAGTTCTTTCTGCAGTTTGAGAGCCACACAGCTGGGGATCTTGGCAGGAGCAGTTACTACTTTAGAGAACCTGACAGCTGTACACCTGGCAGGAGCAGTTCTTTGTGTTGTTTGAGTGCTGCACAGCTGCTGACTTGGGCAGGAGGCATCTTACTTTGGTCCATGCAGATGGAGTTCTGTGCAGATGTGGTTCTCACCTTAGGTTGATGGCCACAGCTGGATACCTGGGCAGGAGTAGTTCTTACTTTAGTTTGAGGGCTGCACAACTGAGGACTTGGGCAGGAGGGTTCTTACTTTATTTTGAGAGCTGGGCAGCTAGGGACTTGGGCAAGAATGGTTCTTTCTTTAGTTTTAGGCCTGCACAGCTGGGGGCCTGGGCAAGAGTGGTGCTTATTTTAGTTTGAGGGCTGCAGAGCCTCAGACTTGGGCAGGAGCAGTTCTTTCTTTAGTTTGAGGATCGTGCAGTTGAGTACCAGGACAGGAGTGGTTCTTACTTTAGTTCGAGGGGGCAGGAGCGGTTTTTGCTTTAGTTAGAGTCAGAGATTCCAGAGAATCCAGTGCTGCTGTTGTAGAGTAAGGACAGGTTAGCTGGAATCCTTGGGAGGAGTCAGTGAGGCTGTTATGTCTGAGGTTCTTGGAGCTAAACATGGAGCCAAAGTTGGGAAGGAGAGAGAGAGAGTCACAGAAGGGCACCTGAAACTGTAGATGTAACTGCACACCAAGCAAGCTAAGCCTGGGAGTGTCTCAGTCCTTCGTATTAATGCTTTCTTTTTACTTCTACACAGTTGGGATTTGTTTTCTGTCTGACACGACAGAAAGACCCTGATCAATATCCTCAGGAATTGAAAAGTTTAAAAAAACTAAATGATGTTGGCAATAATAATAATAGTAGAAATTTAACCAGGATTACCTTGACTGATAGAGACAAAATCACACATACACACAATATATGTCTTTTCAATAGTTAGTAAAATAAAAATAAATAGAAAAATAGGTCCAAGTAAAGCTCTATAAGGTTGTTTCATGGAGAAGGGGTGAAGGACAGAGGTGAATCTGAGAGTTGCTGCTGATGGACACATGGAGAATGGACCATTTTCCCCACGCGGTTTCAGTGTACGATGATCTTCTGTGAGACCTGGCAGCTGGGTCGCTTCACACAGCTGGGGATGCAGTGGGCATCACAGAAGGACCCTGTCTCAGCTGATCCTGCCCCTTTGCTGTGATGAGTGTGGCCTCTGATCTCCAACAACTGACTGTGTTTTGAGGGGAAGCCAGGCCTGTGAGCACAAGGGTATCCATGGTGAGGTTCTGTGGGTGGAACGTCTTGGATGTGCTTGAGGTTCCTTCCTGATGCTCATCTGCCATCTCGCTCTTTAACGCATCTTGTTTATAACTGTCTTCTCAATACTGTATAGGAAATAAGCACTTGTATAATATGGGCCAGGCATAAAGAATGTTCACACATTGGACACTCGGGACCTCCACCAAGTTTAGGGAATAGAATCTGAAGAAACCAAACTTTGGATGCTCCCTGGAAGCCCCTCCTGAATCCCAGTCCCTTCCCTTCTACTTCAGAAGGAGTCACTTTTTGCTTTAGTCTTTATCATTCCTGTACTTTTCTTCATGGTGTGTTTCTTTCCCCACATTTGTGTGCATCCCCAAACAATACTGCATGTGGTTTCTGAACACTCTGTTGTCTTTTTAAGACAGGTCTTGGTCTGTTGCCTGGGCTGCAGTTTTGAACTTTGATGTGAAGAAGTCTCCTGTGTGGCTGCTTCTCTGCTGCACTGGCTCTGAGCATTTGCTCCATGTCTATTTTCATCCTCTGTTCTCTTCCTGAGACCTGTCCACACTAACCTGATTCATTTTCATTGCTGCATGATCTCTAGTGGTGGATGGGACCCTGGGAAATGACTTTTTTTTCCTGCTGATGAATGTTTGGCCAGGTGGGCCCCTAGAACTGTTACTGTGAAGGTTCTTGGGCATTTCTTTTGTACACAACTTCAGTTTCTTCTGGTCAGTGGCTTTCAATTTTTTTTTTTTTTTTTTTTTTTGAGACGGAGTTTCGCTCTTGTTACCCAGGCTGGAGTGCAATGGCGCGATCTTGGCTCACCGCAACCTCCGCCTCCTGGATTCAGGCAATTCTCCTGCCTCAGCCTCCTGAGTAGCTGGGATTACAGGCATGCGCCACCATGCCCAGCTAAATTTTTGTATGTGGCTTTCAATTTTTAAAATTTCATCCCAGTAAGAAATGTAATTGTCCTGATGACCCACAACAGACACCCTTTCATAAGCAAGCACAGCAAAAATAATTCACAATCATTCTTAGTGGTGGCTGAGCATTCCTGTGGCTCTCCATTCTCCCCAACACTTGCACTGATTGTGGTATTTTTGCCAGTCATCTGGGTGTCAGCTGGTATCTCACCCTGTTAGGCTGAAACCCTCTTCATGTTTTTAATCATCCATTCCTCCACATTTTTTTTCTTCTGTGAAGGACTGGTTCAACTCCTTTGCCATGTTTCTATTTACTTGTTAAAATTTGAACCAGGCAAATTCTCATTAGAGACAAGGGGCCAAAGACTGAGCCGATGGAATCTAATGTCTTTTAATGTTGACTTCAATCCAGTAAAGCTCTCGTTATGCCATTTAAGTGTAACTGGGCCTGGAAGAGGCAGTGCTCCCTCTGGAATTAGAGGTCCAAATATTTGGATTTGATTTCCAGCCCTCTGCCAGTCAGTCAGCCATGCACTTTCAAGTGACAAGCCTTAGTCTAGTCACTTTGTCTGTTTCTCGATTTCTGCACAGGGATATATGTGGGCCTTAAGGCCCACTGGGAAACGATCCCTCTTCAAGCCCAGTGCCTGGTTTGTTGAGTATACTTGTCAATGTAGACTTGAATACACCTATGGTTTTGGATTAGCTCTATTACCTCTGCTAGAAATTGACACACAAAATTGACATTGATTGACAAGATGAGAATCATTTCTAAAGAATTCAAATATAACTTAATCCTTTATTACTAAAAGAATGCTCAACTCAAGGGGACACAGATCACTCATTTTGACTTCATGAGCTATGGCACTTAGAGACAACTTTTTGAAAATACACAGCTTAAACTGTCCGTGCTTTAAGTGCTAGACAAGTTTTTAAGAATACACAGCTAAAATGGTCCCCGCTTTAAGTGCTTTAGGAAAATGGATTTCGGGCAAGGCCAGGTACGTCGATTTCAGAAGAGTCGATTTCAGACAAGGCAAGGAAAGTCAATTCCAGAGAAATCGATTTCAGACAAGGGGAGGCAAGCCGATTTCAGAAAAGTCGATCTCAGACAGGGCACGTCGATTCCAAGGCATGCAGATAACCGAAACGGTTCCGGAAACGGCCTGTGAGGGAGGGGCAGCCGCGCAGAGTCGCCTGCTGGAGGCCGCATAGCTGGGAGGTGCCGCCGGGGTGGGGTTGGGTGTGGCTGCTGCGTGCCAGGGGTGGCTGCCAGGCCGAGGGCAGCTCCATCTGGAAGTTCCAGCCCATCACAGTGCAGTCCACAGGTTCCAGACGGGGCTGTGCGGGCAGCGTGAAGGCGGGAAGGCTCCCGGGGGTCAAAGGAAGAGAAGGTGCCTGTTCCGGGGACCCCAGGGTGAGCTTTCCAGGCAGAGGGAAGCCCGGGACCGGTTGTCATGGGGGTGTCTGAGTCTAGCTGGAGTTACTGGGGCAGGGAGGTTGGAAACGTAGGCCAACCGGTGTGAGCCTCCGCCTGCTGAGAGCTGCGGGGAGGGGCTGGTGTCCGCTGTCAGTGGCCTGTAACCCCGGGCGTCCACTGCCGGCAATTGCAGGAGCCTCCTCCCTGGTCTCTGCCCTCACAGCTGCGCCAGCCGCCCCTGCGCCCCAGCAGAAGCCGGGCTCTTAACATGGCAGTCCCCTCTGCCCCAGCGCTCGCCTCTCCAGGCACCGTCCCGGCTCTGGGCACCTGCGCTGCCCGTTCTGTTCTGCATTCCCTCCACCTTTTCTGCCCTGTGAGGCAGACCTCTGCTGTCTTCGCTGCTTTATTTCCCCAGACCCAGCCAGCATCGAAGGCGTGCTGTGTCCTAGGACCCTTGCAGCTGGCATGCAAGGAGGAGTGTGAGGCTCCCTGTCCCTCCTTAGACTCTCAGAATTCAGAAGAGCCACACTTTTTTGCCTGAATTTAACTCTTAGTTCTTTGAAGGCCCTCGAGAAAAAGTGTGCAAGACTGCTGTTAACCAGTCAGTCCTGAGTTGGATTCTTCACGCTAAAACGTGACTTAAGCCGGAAGGCTTTGTTCATTCGAAACCATGACTAGGCCAGAGAAGTTTACACCAATGTAAAGGAAAATACAGTCTTAATTATACCAAGTCTGACTTTTCTACCATTGCATCCAACAGGGAAACTGCTGGCTTCCATCAAGACCTGGTTCCACCACAGAGCAGGAGAAAGAGGCAGGGACGCAGGGGACCCCCCACCTCCAGCCTCTGCAGGCGCCAGATGCCACTGTTCTTCAGGAAGCCAGATGATAATAACCACCCTTTCCTGCTAAGTTGTCTTGAAAACCCTTAGGTAGAAAAAGTCCTCAAAATGTGTCGGCTTAATTAGACGTACAGCGTCTCAGGTCTCAAAGGGAAAAATGCATTCTCTTTCTTCCACGGGCTGGTTTTGCTGCTGGTGGCACTGCTGAATGGAACCAGAACAAACCAACTTCAAAGTGAATTCCCTTTTGTCTGAGGCCAGCTGCTGTACCAGGTCCGTCTGGGATCCTGTGTGTAAACAGCACACCTGGCCTCCCCAAACGGTTCCCATGCATGCTTCCAAAAGAGAAATAACTAATTCTCAATGATACCATGACAGGATACTTGAAACTAATTTTTCTGAATTGTAGATTTGACAACAGATTCCACCTAAACCATCAATTACGGTTTCTTTCTAATACCTTCAGATTCCATCTAAAACATAAACAGGAGGAGGTACAAAACTGGTAAGTGGAGGTATGCTGTGTGTTCACATGACTGGATCTGAAATGTCACCTCACATCATTCCAAAGCAGCCTCTGAGCAGGGCCCTCAGCCACAGCTATCAATCCACGGCCATAACAGAAATCAGCCTCATGGAGAAATCGTCAAGACAGAAGCACGAGAACCCAGAACAGCCCTCATCCTCTGTCCAGCGATTCTCCGCCTTCAGGACGGGAGCGTGAGAACCCAGAACAGCCCTCATCCTCTGTCCAGCGATTCTCCACCTTCAGGATGAGAGCGTGAGAACCCAGAACAGCCCTCATCCTCTGTCCAGCGATTCTCCACCTTCAGGATGAGAGCGTGAGAACCCAGAACAGCCCTCATCCTCTGTCCAGACATTCTCCACCTTCAGGATGGGAGCGTGAGAACCCAGAACAGCCCTCATCCTCTGTCCAGCGATTCTCCACCTTCAGGGTGGGAACGTGAGAACCCAGAACAGCCTGCCTTCATCTTCTGTCCAGTGAGAGAGCTGGCACCTTGTCCTGATTTGCTTTTAAATCCTTCCAGCAGGAAGGCTGTAATTTATAGTGTTAGTGAAAAGCCACAAATATGATTTAAACTACACATGATTCTGTGCTTTTCCTAAAGGACCACAGGTTAGGCATCACCTTTTTATCTGAGTTGAGCGGCAACGGAGATTGAGATGCAGTCGGAAGGACGCAAAGCGGTTTACCGGAGACTCTGCCTGAGGCCGAGCAGGGCTGCCATCAGGCCTTGCTCACCAGAAAAATGGGTTATTATCATAATTATCCTGTATACCACACGGTGATTAATACAGCTCTCTTCCTCTTTTCAAAACTGCATAATAAAATCAGCTTTAGTCACTACTGAGATGAAGAAAATCATTTTAAAACCACTTTAAATCAGGTTACTGGCTGTCAATTTACTTAAGATTGGAACATTTATACCCCTATTATTAACAACAGAATCCCTATTTTAGGAATGTTTATCATATGCTGCACATGGTGGACACTGCAAGCTGAGAGCTGGATGTTGTCTTCTTTTAAGAGTGCTGAGGTTTTTTTCTGGCAATTAAGTTACTGGCACATGCACACTTGTGAGTGAATCAGTGCTGGGACTGGGATGCAATAGTCCAGAAATAAGTGCTGGGACTGGGCTCACGTTGTCCAGGAATCAGTGCTGGGACTGGGTTGACGCTGTCCAGGAATCTGTGCTGGAACTGGGTTGAGGCTGTCCAGGAATCAGTGCTGGGACTGGGCTCACGTTGTCCAGGAATCAGTGCTGGGACTGGGTTCACGTTGTCCAGGAATCAGTGCTGGGACTGGGCTGAGGCTGTCCAGGAATCAGTGCTGGGACTGGGCTGAGGTTGTCCAGGAATCAGTGCTGGGACTGGGCTGAGGTTGTCCAGGAATCACTGCTGGGACTGGGTTGAGGTTGTCCAGGAATCAGTGCTGGGACTGGGTTGAGGCTGTCCAGGAATCAGTGCTGGGACTGGGCTGAGGCTGTGCAGGAATCAGTGCTGGGACTGGGCTGAGGTTGTCCAGGAATCTGTGCTGGGACTGGGTTGAGGCTGTCCAGGAATCAGTGCTGGGACTGGGTTGAGGCTGTCCAGGAAATCAGTGCTGGGACTGGGTTGAGGCTGTACAGGAATCAGTGCTGGGACTGGGCTGAGGCTGTGCAGGAATCAGTGCTGGGACTGGGTTGAGGCTGTCCAGGAATCAGTGCTGGGACTGGGCTGAGGCTGTGCAGGAATCAGTGCTGGGACTGGGCTGAGGTTGTCCAGGAATCAGTGCTGGGACTGGGCTGAGGCTGTCCAGGAATCTGTGCTGGGACTGGGTTGAGGCTGTCCAGGAAATCAGTGCTGGGCCTGGGCTGAGGCTGTCCAGGAATCTGTGCTGGGACTGGGTTGAGGCTGTCCAGGAATCAGTGCTGGGACTGGGTTGAGGCTGTCCAGGAAATCAGTGCTGGGACTGGGTTGAGGCTGTGCAGGAATCAGTGCTGGGACTGGATTGAGGCTGTCCAGGAATCAGTGCTGGGACTGGGCTGAGGCTGTCCAGGAATCAGTGCTGAGACTGGGTTGATGCTGTCCCGGAATCAGTGCTGGGACTGGGCTGAGGCTGTGCAGGAATCAGTGCTGGGACTGGGCTGAGGCTGTGCAGGAATCAGTGCTGGGGCTGGGTTGAGGCTGTCCAGGAATCAGTGCTGGGGCTGGGTTGAGGCTGTCCAGGAATCAGTGCTGAGACTGGGTTGAGGCTGTCCCGGAATCAGTGCTGGGACTGGATTGAGGCTGTCCAGGAAATCAGTGCTGGGACTGGGTTGAGGCTGTCCAGGAATCAGTGCTGGGACTGGGCTGAGGTTGTCCCAGAATCAGTGCTGGGACTGGGTTGATGCTGTCCAGGAATCAGTGCTGGGGCTGGGTTGAGGCTGTCCAGGAATCAGTGCTGGGACTGGGCTGAGGCTGTCCAGGAATCAGTGCTGGGGCTGGGTTGAGGCTGTCCAGGAATCAGTGCTGGGACTGGGTTGAGGCTGTCCAGGAATCAGTGCTGGGACTGGGCTGAGGCTGTCCAGGAATCAGTGCTGGGACTGGGTTGAGGCTGTCCAGGAATCAGTGCTGGGACTGGGTTGAGGCTGTCCAGGAATCAGTGCTGGGACTGGGCTGAGGTTGTCCAGGAATCAGTGCTGGGACTGGGTTGATGCTGTCCAGGAATCAGTGCTGGGACTGGATTGAGGCTGTCCAGGAAATCAGTGCTGGGACTGGGTTGAGGCTGTCCAGGAATCAGTGCTGGGACTGGGCTGAGGTTGTCCAGGAATCAGTGCTGGGACTGGGCTGAGGCTGTGCAGGAATCAGTGCTGGGACTGGGTTGAGGCTGTCCAGGAATCACTGCTGGGCCTGGGCTGAGGCTGCATAGGAATCAGTGCTGGGACTGGGTTGATGCTGTCCAGGAAACCAGTGCTGGGCCTGGGCTGAGGCTGTGCAGGAATCAGTGCTGGGACTGGGCTGAGGTTGACCCGGAATCAGTGCTGGGACTGGGCTGAGGCTGTGCAGGAATCAGTGCTGGGCCTGGGCTGAGGCTGTGCAGGAATCAGTGCTGGGACTGGGCTGAGGTTGACCCGGAATCAGTGCTGGGACTGGGCTGAGGCTGTGCAGGAATCAGTGCTGGAACTGGGCTGGGGTTGTCCAGGAATCAGTGCTGGGACTGGGTTGAGGCTGTCCAGGAATCAGTGCTGGGACTGGGTTGAGGTTGTCCAGGAATCAGTGCTGGGGACTGGGCTGAGGCTGTCCAGGAATCAGTGCTGGGACTGGGCTGAAGGCTGTCCTAGGAATCAGTGCTGGGACTGGGTTGAGGCTGTCCAGGAATCAGTGCTGGGACTGGGTTGAGGCTGTCCTAGGAATCAGTGCTGGGACTGGGTTGATGCTGTCCAGGAATCAGTGCTGGGACTGGGTTGATGCTGTCCAGGAATCAGTGCTGGGACTGGGTTGAGGCTGTCCAGGAATCAATGCTGGGACTGGGTTGATGCTGTCCAGGAATCAGTGCTGGGACTGGGTTGAGGCTGTCCAGGAATCAGTGCTGGGACTGGGTTGAGGCTGTCCAGGAATCAGTGCTGGGACTGGGTTGATGCTGTCCAGGAATCAGTGCTGGGACTGGGTTGAGGCTGTCCAGGAATCAGTGCTGGGACTGGGCTGAGGCTGTGCAGGAATCAGTGCTGGGACTGGGTTGAGGCTGTCCAGGAATCAGTGCTGGGACTGGGCTGAGGCTGTGCAGGAATCAGTGCTGGGACTGGGTTGAGGTTGTCCCGGAATCAGTGCTGGGACTGGGCTGAGGCTGTGCAGGAATCAGTGCTGGGACTGGGTTGAGGTTGTCCCGGAATCAGTGCTGGGACTGGGCTGAGGCTGTGCAGGAATCAGTGCTGGGACTGGGTTGAGGTTGTCCAGGAATCAGTGCTGGGACTGGGCTGAGGCTGTGCAGGAATCAGTGCTGGGACTGGGCTGAGGTTGTCCCGGAATCAGTGCTGGGACTGGGCTGAGGCTGTGCAGGAATCAGTGCTGGGACTGGGCTGAGGTTGTACCAGGAATCAGTGCTGGGACTGGGCTGAGGCTGTGCAGGAATCAGTGCTGGAACTGGGCTGGGGTTGTCCAGGAATCAGTGCTGGGGCTGGGTTGAGGCTGTCCAGGAATCAGTGCTGGGACTGGGCTGAGGCTGTCCAGGAATCAGTGCTGGGACTGGGTTGAGGCTGTGCAGGAATCAGTGCTGGGACTGGGCTGAGGCTGTCCAGGAATCAGTGCTGGGGCTGGGTTGAGGCTGTCCAGGAATCAGTGCTGGGACTGGGCTGAGGTTGTCCCAGAATCAGTGCTGGGACTGGGTTGATGCTGTCCAGGAATCAGTGCTGAGACTGGGTTGATGCTGTCCCGGAATCAGTGCTGGGACTGGGCTGAGGCTGTGCAGGAATCAGTGCTGGGACTGGGCTGAGGCTGTGCAGCAATCAGTGCTGGGGCTGGGCTGAGGTTGTGCAGGAATCAGTGCTGGGACTGGGTTGAGGCTGTCCAGGAAATCAGTGCTGGGACTAGGTTGAGGCTGTCCAGGAATCAGTGCTGGGACTGGGCTGAGGTTGTCCCAGAATCAGTGCTGGGACTGGGTTGATGCTGTCCAGGAATCAGTGCTGAGACTGGGTTGAGGCTGTCCCGGAATCAGTGCTGGGACTGGGCTGAGGCTGTGCAGGAATCAGTGCTGGGACTGGGCTGAGGCTGTGCAGCAATCAGTGCTGGGGCTGGGCTGAGGTTGTGCAGGAATCAGTGCTGGGACTGGGTTGAGGTTGTGCAGGAATCAGTGCTGGGACTGGGTTGAGGCTGTCCAGGAATCAGTGCTGGGCCTGGGCTGAGGCTATGCAGGAATCAGTGCTGGGACTGGGTTGAGGCTGTCCAGGAATCAGTGCTGGGACTGGGTTGAGGCTGTGCATGTGTCTCTCTTGGGACTGGGCTGTGGCTGTCCAGGATTGGGTGCTGGGACTAGGCTGAGGTTGTACAAGGACTGGGTCGAGTATCTCTGTTTTTTCAATAATGAGACCAGCGTGAAGGCTCACGAGTCTGCCATAGGAACATCTCACGAGGCCATACTCAGCGCAGTAAGGCCAGTAGTAAGCAGCAGTGTGGTTCAGCACACAATAGAAGGTATTGTAAAGGAAAATGTAAACTCTATTTGCATGATGAAACACAGCAGTTACTCTGCGAAGCCTGTGATGTATGAACAGGGAATGCTAAAGTGCCTTTCATGACCCTGCTCTCCCAGTAAAGTCTCCATTGAGCTGGTCCCAGAAAGCAGAGTCTCCACAGGCAAGGACAGGGCCCAGCTACAATGTGCGGAGCACACAGCCTGGCCCAGAGGATCAATCGGCCCTTGAGTCTGCAATCTGGGGGGCCCTCCAGACAGAGAGTGAGGGGCCAAGCACAGCCATTAGAAATCTCAGGTCAAAAGATGAAGCTGGAGCCCAGACCCCCAAATTCACACTCAGAAAGGGCATGGCAGGCAGCTCACCAGCTCTAGCAATCCCAGCATGGGAGAAACAGAAAAAGAAACAAGCTTGTGAAGAGGAATCAGCGAAAGAGAAGCCAAACGAGTGTGTGAGAGGTGAAAGGATGTGTTTGTGACAAGTGGCAAACCACTGACAAGAGGTGTGGGTCCACGTGGTGGCATGGGCTTTGTGTTCAAGGGGCCGGCACCTGGACAGAGCTTCTCATAGCAGGACAGTCGGACAGAGACAGGGGACCTGCCAAGTGGGCCAGTGACAGAGCCCCACATAGCAGGATGGTGGGACAGAGACAGGGGACCTGCCGAGTGACCCAGTGACAGGGCCCCACATAGCAGGACGGTGGG